GGAGAGAGAGGAAGGTGGATGGGGTTGGAAGATTTTTGTTTTGTCTCGATAAAGTTTACTTGATCTCCCCATAAGGTTGTGATATTTTGATGATTTCAACCTCATTGGCAGTTAATTGGTAGTCATTCTTCCACAATCCTTCTTAAATTCTGTTGGCGACTACTGATCTCCCAATCGGTCCCCCCTGAAAACAATGTGATCCCAAAAATACTTTACCCTACCCCCTCTGCGATAAATTTCGACTCGGTCCTAAAAGGGCAAACTTAATTTATATACTTTATTTTAATACCTTGGGAAGCTGTTTTGTGGTACGAACAGCTAGTAGTTAGTAGCCACCTCTGTTATGATGTCTATAATTTTATATGGATTGACCCCTAAATATCGACGATCTCGATTTGTATTCCGAAATGATATTACTTCATACCCTCTGAAGAATTCTGGGAATAAATTGGCTGTTCCGCAACCCCGTCCCAACTATTTGAAGAGAAGTTTTTCCTACAGAGTTGCTTTCCCATGAGCTCCGATCAACAGTTTCTTTAAGCGAGTTCAATGGTAAAGTGCGTTATTATATCTTTTGATTAAAACACGGCATCCTAGAAATGCAGCTTTAATGATATAATAGGTTTTATTCTAATAATACAATATTAATCATTAGTTAGTTTAGCTAAGCAGAATTAGCTATTTTTCACTCTTAGATTATGCGGAAGGATTTTACCCTGAATAAACAAAGTTATCTATCTATGTGGTGACCGTTTTGAATTAGTTTACGCTCTCTGTGTCAATATTTTTCACGCATCTTAAGCCATCTCTGTGCCTTGTTGGTTAATCATTGCTTATGTTTATTAAGTTCTAAGTCGCTGCTACTTTCTTACAGAGATTTGTCCTCAAACCCAATCATGAAACTTGATGCCAAAGCGCTGGGACTGCATTATGAACTCGTCAGTCTGTAAGTTGACCATACTGTGTATTTTTTTAACTCTACGCCTTTCGACCGAGGAACCAGATCTGCCAACGATCTACGAGCTTTTAAAAGACTCCTAGTTGGCAATATCTCTTGCGATAAAACAACGCCATTTTGATGTGAATACGGAAGATCTGGGTATAATAAGGGAAATTATAACTAGAAAGCCAAATTGATAATTTAATCTCTTTAACGATTCCCCGGAAACCCCCCACTTCTCTCCCCATCCACCCACCCCCCACCCCCCAACCCACTCCCCACCCCCCAACCCACTCCCTACCCCCCAACCCACCCCCCACCTCCAACTCACCCCCCCAACCCATCCCCCAACCCACCCTCCTCAAAAACGATTCTTACCGCTGAGTTACTTTCCTTCTAGATATTTGTCCCAAACAAGGATTACGACCCTGGAGAACAGAGTTTTTGTCAATAACACCCGACTTAAAACCTTGTAAGTACTGAACTGTTTTTCAATTGAGTAACTGCTGCTTTTGTTTTGATTTACATCGCTTTGATTGGTACAGAAAATACGCGCCACTCCCTCAACCAATCAGATGCAAAACTGAAAACAATCACGACTTGGCCGCTCGGGATTTCCGACGCTTGAGGCAGTTTGGTCGGTTTTACTTTGAGTTCACGTTGGCTCTTAACCCTTTACATTCTAACATCAGTATGCATATTCTCCATAACACTCACTAGACATATCTTAGGGTTCTGACAAGGAGAATTTGTTCAAAAATGAAGAGCTTCTTAAGTTGATGATCATCTCCTTTATTCTCATGACCTAAATGTTTGATTCCAGGATGATGTAAGGAGAAATTAGATTTTAGTCACTCTTAGGCGTTGTGATTACTTTAGTTTTGGGTTTTCGTCACTCAATCGAAAAGCACTCCATTACCGTTTTTATCAATAAAGGGCAAAATTACTGAGCGCTGATTGGTTGAGAGAGAGAGCATTTTTTCTTAATCGAGGGCATTTTTAGTAATCAAGAGAGGGCATGATTACCTGTTAATGATTGGCTAATCCGTTGCATAGCAACCGTTCGTTATCTTGAAATTTGTTAAAAATAGACTGCGCGCGTGATTTTCCTTCGTATAAATTTTGCCCTTTATTGATAAACAAGTAATCCCATGAGACCTCGTACTATTAAGGATTAATTGCATTTGAGTTTTCAAAATTTTGGAAAATTTTGAAAACTCTCGTGCAATTAATCCTTAATAGTACTTGGCCTCATGTGATTACATATACATACAAATCATTACAAGACTCTCTTTTACAAGGTTTCGTGCAAAGGAAAAAAATTAGCAAACACACTTTTCTTTGAAAGAATCTAAAAGTTCCTTAGCTATGATACACTACTGAATAAATCTTCATTTTTATCTATTTTTTTTTTAATCTTCACAAAAATAAAGCCATTCATGGCTTTCGGAATACCCGAGAAACAGAAAGACAGTACTGAAAGAAAGTTAAATTCTTTCCTCCGTAAAAGAGAAAAAAAGAGTCTTTCAACAAAGGTGGAAAAAAGAAAAAAAGAATACCACGGAAGGCCATGGGGCATATTTAGTAAACTTCTTCAATGATTCTAATTCAAAAGAGTACATTGATAATTCTGCCTTTGGCGGACAATCTCCCTTCAAATAATTATGGCTGATATTCGTTAGGAGGGTGGGGTGACTTCAGGAAAACTGATTCTAGTTCACTCCCCCTT